CCATTGCTTCACCTGTGCTACCGTGACAGCACTTACTCCCAGCTTGCTGGCATCAACCCCAGCAACAAACTCAACATCCAAAACTCAGCTCATCTTCCTCGTCCCCCAACCTCCAAAACCCACTCACCAGCCTGTGCCCCACCAGACTCAAGGCCTCTCTCTATACCCTCACGGCCTCCATCCTTGTCTGGTAAACATCAATCGAATTCCTAAGTCCCACCAAATCCATCTACTCTCCACCCTCTCCCACCATCCTGGGGAGGCCCTCACTATCCCTCTAACGCCCGCAGCCTGGTTTCTCTAAGGTCAGCCCAGATACAGTGCATCTGAGTCTTCTGTGGGGCTTTTTAAGAGTCTCTGAGTTTCAGGTGTGAGACTTTATATTTCCCACAAGTCCCAGCTGATGATGGTGCCGCTCCTGCTTCAGACACTCCTCCCTCCCTTCGCATCACACAGGAGTTCTTCCTGAATCCCGTCTTCAGAGGCTGGCTTAAGCCTTTTCAGATCTGAAAGTGTAGGCCTGCGATAACTAAATGTGGGCAGTAAAAGCTACTCCTCACCAAGGACCTGCCATCATCAGGTACGTTATCTCTGTCACTTTGCAGTTAAAACAACCCTATAAAATACACATTACCCCAAATTTTGGAGGGCAATTCCGTAAAAAAATAAATAAATAAAAATCAAGATGCAGAATGGTTAAATGATTTCTAAATTCCACAATGACAAATTGGTTTTATGTATTCATTAAAGGGGACCCTCTCCTCAGACAAACTTTGTTACCACAATATGATGGAAGGGAAGAGCTATGAAGGAAAGCAAACAGCGTTTTCTTCTCAGGATGGGACACAAGAAGAGACCTATGAGAAAACAAAACACGAATACTCTGGGCCACCTTTCAGAGAGGCGCACCTGACTGGGCCAATGACTGACTTCCACAACGAAAAAGAACTTCCCAAAGATATCCCTGAATTTTAAAGCACTTTCCCTTATGCCAGTGGTGGGCAAACTCATTAGTCAACAGAGCCAAATATCAACAGTACAACGATTGAAATTTCTTTTGAGAGCCAAATTTTTTCAGCTTAAACTATATAGGTAGGTACATTGTTATTAACTTAATTAGGGTACTCCTAAACTGGCCTTTGCTAAAAACGTCCTCAATCTGATTGAGGTACGTTTGCTGAGGTCGACCCCTTCCAACTCTCCCATCCACACTCGTCCTGTATACTTGTTTCGTCTATCTCCTTTCCAAAAACCGACTTCTGTGCATGGGCCACAAAGTTTCAATCGCACTGTACGTATGCACCGCACGTGGTATTTGTGGAAGAGTCACACTCAAGGGGCCAAAGAGCTGCACGTGGCTCGCGAGCCGAGGCTTGCCAACCACTGCCTATGCCATCCCTTCTGATTCTTATAAAAACCCCTCTGAGGACGAGGCAGCATGATCCCACCACCCTGATCTCAAGCAGCACAGCTAACACTCAGGTAATAGTGCCAGGGATGGAACCACAATGAAGACGCGGATCATGGCTTTGCATTAAGAGTCTTGTCGTTAGCACCTCCTATGTGAGAAAAAAAATATAGTGACACACTATCAATATGAATAAGACTCAGCTCCTGCCCTCAACAAAGTCAACCTACTCACCAGTCTAAAACAACGCAGCTCCTGATGGCGAAGGCTTTGGAGTCCGGCAGACCAGCCCGTAGGTTTAAAATCCCCAATCCTCCCCTGTGCTTTACATGCCCTTCGATCCTGGGCTAGAACTTCATCTCTGTGAAGCTTCCTCGTTTACAACAGAGACAATATACCACAGAATCATTGTGAATATTAGAGATAAACTCGTGAGAAGTACCTGGGACTCTGCTTAGCATGAAATATAAACTACATAGTCAAAATTGTCTCATGTTGTTAGAGCTGCTGCTATAGGCCCAAGTACAACCTCTCAAGCCCATAATAATAAAATGTCAGTGGAATGGCCTTTCCCTCTCTTATTTGGGACATTAAAATGATAGGCCTGAATCGCCAATTAAAATAGGGGGCTGACTGGGGGAGGGTGAAGGATGAGTCACACTTCTGGCTTGAATAGTGCCAATGACCCAAGTGGGAAAGCGGACAGAGCATGGGGATGAGGGGATTGGGGGCAAGGGGGTGGGGGTTATAGGTCAGGAGACAGGCAATAATTAGACGATAAATTATTCAGTTTGGATATCACAAGTTAAGAGAACATATGAGTCATCCAAGTAAAAATGCCTAAAAGACTGCTTGAGATGAGGGTGAATCAGAGAGAGACTTGAGGGCCATTAACATTGGGTAGTAGTTGAAGTCATGGGAGCCCTGAGGTCCCCCAAAGAGGCTGAGCAGACTAAAGAAAACCACCAAGGATGAAAGCCCAGGCAACAGGAATATGTAAAGGCAGACACAGCAGGACCTAAGAAGAAATGAAAGGAAAAGAAAAGTAGTCAAGAATGGTGCACAGGAACCCAGAGGAGAAAGTTGCAAATGAGGAATACTGCAGGAAAGGCATGTTAAGAGTCCTATCAGAGGCCAACTGTGACCTTCACAAGAGCAGTTTCCATGACGTTTGGCCATAGAAACCAGATGACAGGTCTTCTGTAAGGTGCCTCCTCAATGGCAAAATTCTGTGATTTCAAAATAGAAACTCCCCATTTTCCATTAAACCCATCATATTGCTAAAACCTCACCCAAGAATGGGTTGTAAGATTTTCTTTCATAGAAAGGGACCTAGTTGAAAACCACAAAAACCATTTAAAGTTATCTTTCCTAGTAGGCTCCTACCTACTTAAAGTTGGTCCCAGGGAAGGAGAAAAGAAAAATTAGGTAATTCTCTGCCATCCAAAAAACTGGAGAAGGAAAAAAAAAAAAGTATAACTTACTAAGTAAATGTCCTGTCCAAAAAAATCTCTAAAGGCAATACAGTTAAATTGCTATTTCAATGTTACTTTCAGAACTGTGTTACCACCGGTCAAAAGGCTTTGGCTTCAATATGCAAATCTATGCATACTTTGGTAAAATTCCATGAGAGCAGATTCCCACCTGGATTTCTAAATAAACCTAAGCTCTCGTTAAATATAGTAAATTGTTCTTCAATGTCCTTGTATACTTACAACCGTAGAAAGTGTTGTCACAGGCAATTTTAAATTAAAGTTATAAAATGGTTCTGCGATGCAAATTATGGCACAACAAGGGAATGTTTGGGTTGGCAGTATAAACTGGTGAAACTAGTTAGGAGAGTTCAAAAATAATTCCCCCCCAAACATCTGCTCAGGCTAAGAAAGAGGTTTTTGTTTTTAAGTCTCTTCCACATACAAATATTTTTCAAGTAGTTACACACATCGTCTTTTGAGGAGCTTTAAAAAGAAACCAACCTACCCAGCAATGACTCCCTCTCCACGCCTGAAACTCCAACGTGGCACACCTGGGCGCGTCTCAGTATCCCCCGTTCCAAAGCTTCAGGGGAGATTCTGGTATGGACGCCCTTGCCAGGCTCCTGTGGAGAAGCTTTGCCTTTAGAAGGACCACCCCCAAAGTTTTAGGGAGCAATGTGGCTGCTCTGTTCTTCATGGATGAAGAGGGCATGGCAGGAGGGGTGAGTGCAGAATAGGAAATCCTGCCAGCAAGCCACAACAGACACATGGCAGAGTGCACCTGCGTATCACATGGGCGTCTCAAGAATTCAGAGGTTTGGAAGCAGCTTTAACCTTGACCCCCACCTCCTGTGGAGGAGCATTTCCAACACGCACAGAGGAAGGACCAGTCAGGTTTTCAGTGCCCCGCCCCGCCTTGCCGCATCAACCACTCTGTCCTCGGATTCCTACGCCATTGCCTGGACTGCAAGCAGCTGCGCCTACAGGAGGACGGGCCTCCAAGCTGTGCTCACTTAAGATGGGGCTGGAGACTGCTCTCAGCCAATTCTCTCTCTGCTTAGGCCGAGTGGTCCTCCACCTTGGCTGCACATTAGAATCCCCTGGGAATCTTTTTAAAATCCTGATTTCTGGGCCTCATCCCTTGCTGGGAAATTCTGTTTCTCTGTTATGGGGTGGGGCCACAACATTAGTAACAAAGAAACAGAATTTCCGGAGGATGAGGCCCAGAAATCGGGATTTTAAAAAGGTTCCCAGGTGATTCTAATGTGCAGCCAAGGTTGAGAACCACTGGCTTAGGGGAAGGAGGAAATATTTGAGCCCCACTACATGCTACACATTGGAGACAGGGAAATAAAAGATGAATACAACAAAAATGACCCACCAGGAACCTCCAGTCTGACCAGATCCCTTGAAGTAGGCACTTCTGTTTCGCAACATACAGGTAGGGCTGCAGTACAGGAAAACCACAGGCCAGAAGGCCAGCAACTGCCCTGACATTCCTAACGCCACACAAACAGAAATCCTCCCTGAAACCTGGGGGAAGGGGACCACACAGCTCGGAATGAGTTACCGGACGGCCTGCAAAACAGGCGGGAGGCAGAACCTGTGCCCGTTGTAACTGGTGTGACCCTGAAAAGCCAACCGGGGAAGCGCAGGGAGGTAAGGCGGGTTGTCAAAATCCCCTTGTTTGCGTCCAGGTAGCCAAAGAGGGGCTCGTAATTAAACTTCACAGAGTTCCTCCCGGGGAAGGGGGGACAGGAGCATGATAATGATAAAAAACGGACAGTCTGATGGTATTAAAAATCTGCACAGCGTTGATCAGTTGTGCTCTGTGTATGCCAACTGTAAGCCAAAGATAGTAAATCATTCACTCAACACACATTAAATGTTTTCAGTGGGAAAGGACTGTGCTAGACACTCTACAGAGACCAAAAAGCCCTGAAGTGGGCACAGCTAAGTACAACTAGAAAGGTCTTAAAAGAATGAACTGAAGCATCCATATTATCAAGAGGACTTTAACGTAGTAACTCAGACAGTGTTTAAATTATCCTTCAATTCGTATGAATAAAAAGCAGGTTTACCTTCAAAGCCCTCAAAATTTTCAGAAAATAGCATACCTGGGAAAGGCTGGTCTCTCGGTACAGGCGCCTCACCCCAGGCTCCGCTGGCTCGCAACAGAGAGGCGCTGTCTCCGTGGGGCACCGGCCAAGTTGCTCCGGACAAGCCGGCCACAGAGAGCTGGGAAACTGGGAAACAGAAAGCCTGTCAGCACACTCACACTGTGAGACACACGGCACAGAGTGTGTAACACCAGCTACAACCTCCTGACGGTCCCCACGAAGGCTCGGTGGAGAGGAGACAGCAGCTTATCCACGTTCTGCTCACCAAGGGAAGAGCAGGGTGACGGGTCGGCAAACCGAGAAAACTCCTGAAACCTTCTGTTCAAGGTGGCCTGGGGCCTTCACTGAAGCCCCTGGCCTGGAGCAAGGCACTGAAGGGTCCCGCTCACCTCGGCCACCATCTCAGGTTTTTCTCCTTAAGGGGTGCCGGTGGGTTCACAGCCCAGCACACAATGCGATGTTTTAGGTTTAAGATAAGGAGCCAAGAACCCCTGACACTCGGGTTTCTGAGGTTCTCCAGAATGCCTCCTTCCCATACCTCCTGCCTCCCTC